ACTTGGTCGTATCGCATTTCCTACCATTCAACTTCACTCAATCCCTGCAAACATGTCTTCGACAGACACTCCTGACCCTTCGACTACGTCGAACTCTTCCTCCAACACCGCTTCTACCATGACTTCGTCTTCGTCGACTACTTCGAGCCCGTCCCCGGCCATGTCCAACTCCACCACGGCCGCCTCCGCTTCAGCACGTCGACCTCAGCGGAAGAGCACGCTGACCCAGCAACAGAAGAACAACAAGCGCCAACGGGCGACTCAGGATCAACTGGTCACCCTCGAATTGGAATTCAACAAGAACCCGACTCCCACGGCAGCCACGCGCGAAAGAATCGCCCAAGAAATCAACATGACTGAGCGGTCCGTCCAGATCTGGTTCCAAAACAGGTTTGTGATCCTTACTATCATTTCCTTACCTGCTGCTAACCGAATCTGTAGACGCGCAAAAATAAAGATGCTTGCTAAGAAGAGCATCGAAACGGGTGAAGGCTGTGATTCTATTCCCGAGTCGATGCGCCAGTACCTGGCCATGCAATTCGACCCAACTAAGCCCGGTGCAAGGGACCCCTTTGGGCGCACGGGTGGATACGGAACCGGTGGTGTTTATCCCCATGAGTCGGCTCCTTCTGGCAAAGTTGGTACGTTTAAATCTGCTATTGCTATTTTGCGATGAATACTGACGATCACAGTTATTCATCACTTCACCTGCCGTTCCTTGACTATCGGTAGCTGGCGACGTATCGGACAGAACGCGATGGATCTGGTGGTATTCTATTCCCCTGAGAAGGCCTGCATGACGTACTACATCAACAACGATTCTGCTGGATACAAGATCGAGTACCCGTTTGCCTACATCAAGAACATTACACTGGAGTCGGGCGACCAGACTCCTCAGGCAAACGGTGCTCCCCCGCGACCTGGCGGTCTTGTCGTTGAGCTGAACCGCCCCCCACTGTTCTACATGGACTCCTCCAACTCTGGTGGATTCTACCAGTGTGGTGACTTCACCGAGGATCAGCAGGCAAGCCAAATCCTGGTCCACCATCTCGGGGGACATCCCAAGGTTCTCAGCGTGCAACTTGCCAAGCTAGTGTCCCTGGAATCCTTCCAGAACCGCCTTGCGTACAACAACTTTGCCATGAACCCGCCCATGTCCCCTCCGTTTATCCAGCGTCCTGCATCGCAGCCGAATCAATTCGCTCCGGCCTTCTTGAGCGTGTTCCCCGAGAGCCATGCTCACCTGAACATTCCCGCAATGCGCGGACACAAGCGCCAGAGGAGTCGCTCAGTTCCGGTAGCTGTCGACTTCTCTGCCATGCAGGCTCCTCTTGCCCACTATAACATGCCCCAGACTCCGGCTCAGTTCAACCATGCGGATACGGGTATCTTTGCTCCCGTTCCCCAGTCGACTCATCCTTTGGCTGTCAACCTTCGGATAGATACCTCTGCCTCCTATGGGTTCGACCCGCGGACACACCCCATGTCTGCTACCACGACAGCTTCCCCATCAGACTTTGCCAGCCCTGGGCTTTTCAGCACTGGAGCCGGCGGTGACTCAACTCCTGTTGCTACCAACATGGGGACCCCCTTCAACCTTCCCTTCGTCTCGCCCGCTGTTGACTCAACCGTGGCGTCCCAAGCATCTTATTCTAACGTCAGTCATGCCGATCCTATGATTGCGAACCATTCTCCTCCATTGTCGAACATCTCGCACGCTCCTCAAGATATGTACGGTCTGGGTAACGAACATCAGCCCAACTACACGGATGATGGCATGTCCATGAATGGGATTTATCCCAAGCATAACATGAACTTCGCTGTTCCGGCTTCTATGGGTCTTGAGACCAACACATACGATCTACCCATGCAGCCCATGTCCGGCCATACATCCCCCGGGGTCCATGGCGATTTCCAGAGCCTGAGCCTGGAGAACGTTGATCCCAACGGCATGGCCCCTGGCTCCTGAAGCCAGAACATGCTATGACCCGTATTGACGTTGGCTGTCTTCGGCCATCGGCCTAGCCATATCTCTATCTACCCTTGGGTAGCACCGCACATTGGCGCGGATCTTCAAATCTCCGCATCTTCAATGTTTCGAATTTTCCTGGCCACTGGTCTCGAGTACCTCCACTCGGACTGATGAGATACCCAGACATCCGCGTGATGTATGGCCAATCGACGATGACGGGAGGATGTATCCTTTCTTGATTATGTTCTCAGCGTCTTCTGTATTAATAACCTTCTCCGGGGCTGGTCCTGAGCGTTCATTCGCATTTCTCATTTCCCAGCAGGCTAGCTGGGCTTTTCATTTTCTTCTCTGCCCTGACAATTTTTCTTTTCATTTTGTTTATACCTGGTCAGGGTTTAACGTGGTTATGCCAGAAAGTCAGACAGATGGCGACATTCGGTTATTTTCTTGGATTCTTCTGGGTTGGCGGGTTAGGAATCGTTTGCTCATTTCCCTTTGTGATGGTTATTTATCGTCCCGAGATTGGCGTCTGCATATTTTGCTTGAAGCAATCCTGTCATGTAGCACATTGATAATGGTGCCACTATCGAGGCGGAGCTGAGACAACCTCCGTCCGGATTGTGCGCACGGCTGATATGGAGACATTTCTCAGGTCCGACCTGAACCATGAAACACCACCAACTGCCCCACGCGCTGCTCGTAGCGAATACATTCATAAAACAGTAGTGTCAATCTATCAACTCGCACATAGTAACAGTAGTATACAGGGGTATCGTATTTAAATCAACCAGATAAACCAACCAAAAACCATCTACTGACCCTCCCACCCCTTCGGCACCGGCGCCTTCAACCCCCTCGACTCCCTCAAATACTTCTCAACCCAAACTTCCATCTTCTCCAACAAATTCATCTCCCTGCCCCCCTCAGTCACACCATCCCGACACCAAACACTCCACGACCCCATCTCCACCGCCATCAACACATCCGTCCCCAACCGATCCCCCACCACCGCAATCTCATCCGCGCTACTCACCACCCCCCTCTCCCGGAACCACTCCAGCACCTCCTTCCCACAAAACGGCTTCTTCTCGCTCCCCTCGGGAAGCCGAAACACGGGGATCTGCAGCTCCCCCAGTTCCTTCTCCAGCTCGCGCACCTCTGCATCATACCGCGGGTGACTCCCCGCGCGGTTCGAGACAATCAAGATTGAGTTATCGGCTGTGAAAGGTGACGTTGGGGACGTGCGTAGCGCGTGCAGCTTCGATATGATCTCGGATGGAAAAGAGGTGGTTTTCGGGTGGCAGAGTGTGTTGTCTTTGTCCAGGACGAGGGCCCGGATGGCCGGGGGTTTTTGGGCGTTGGGGTGGACTGCTGGGCCGAGGTTTTCGGGTAGGTGGGTGATTGTTGGGATGGTTAGGTGGGGAAGGAAGTTGGAGGGGGTTTTTAGGAGGGTTGAGACCGCGAGGTTGAAGGCGCGGAGGTTGCTGTTGGGGGGTTGCATGGCGGATTTGGGAGGAGGAATTGGGAGGTGGTGGTGGTTGTAGTTTGTAGGTTGTAGATGGTGTTGTTTAGTGGGGTATGGTTTTAGTAATGTGGTGGTTTGTTGTAGATCTTAATGCATAGTAGATCTAGATCTATTATCTGAGGGGGATAAGTGAGAAGAGAATTGGTGCTTAATGTGTATCAGATTAATTGCTGGAATGGAAGCAATGGATGGATGATAGGAAGGATAAGATGGGAAGAAAGAAGACTAGTCTTGGCCGAGAAGTCTCCCGCACCGCAGAGCCGCAAAACTCTCCGCCGGCGGATCGCACGCGCCAGACACAAGACAACCTTCCCTTCCCTTGCCATTCTGTCTTCGTTTGACTGATTTAACACGCCTTTGAATAATAGTCAAGCTTCTTTTTCAGCTTGCTTTATATTATCTTCTCCGACTTTCATCTCTTTTCCCCGCACGGCTTCGCTAGAATTTCTCACATTCCGCAATGGGCAAGTTGACCAGCACGATCGGTATCCCGATCAAGCTTCTTAATGAGGCGCAGGTTGGTTCTATCCTTCCTTTTTGAGTTGTTAACTTGTATCTGTGTATTGCGATTAAGCTAACGCTGGGATGGTTTGTATAGGGCCACGTCGTCACACTTGAGATCACGTCCGGGGTTGTCTACCGTGGAAAACTCCTAGAGGGTGCGTTCACACCCCTCCTCGTCCTCCTCCTTTACACCTATCCATCCTTTCCAATACAACAATCCCAAATACACCCATCACTAACTTCCTCTGCTACAGCTGAGGACAACATGAACGTCCAACTGAAGGATATCACGGTCACTGCGCGCGACGGCCGCGTGTCACATCTCGACCAGGTGTACATTCGGGGAAGCCATGTGAAGTTTTTCATTGTGCCGGATATGCTTAGGTTCGCTGCCCCCATCTCTCCCTCTTACATGTTTATTGGGTATTGGGGTATGGGCAATGCTAACTACTATCGTATAGGAACGCTCCCATGTTCCGCTCACGAGGCCAGCGCGGTCGCGGTGTCGGTCTTGCTCGTGGTAAGGCCACGGTGCAGAGGGCGAGGGGACAGAGACGGGGTTAAAAAAATACGATATGGATATTAGTGGATGGATGGATGGATGGTGCGGCGTTACTATTTTGTTCTATTCAAGTTGCTTTCTGTGTGTCCCCTTTTTCGTATCTATAAACTTGTCTTGTCTCGTATTGGCTTGGCTGTCTGGGTCGTCGGGTCTGATATCATATTAAATACATTGAGTTGATTGGGTTATTGCGCTTTTTGGGGGGCATTGATGGAGGGTGTGTGATTGTGGCAGTGCTACTGGGTTTTCGTAGGGTGTTCCTTGGGAGGATTAGGGTGTAGTGATGAGATAGATACAGCTAACTAGCTAGCTGATGTGATAGGTTAATATCAATACCAACGACACGAGCAAATTCGAATACATCATTACAACATTGTGAATAACCCAAAGCATAAATTGTATTGCAAGAGGGCATGAAACATGGTAAGGAATATCAACACGAGGTCAATCACTCCTAACCAAACCACCTCCGAGCTCACTCCGCCGCCCTCCCCGCATCCCGTCCAACTTTCTCTCTCCTCCTCAACTCTTATTTATCCCTTCACGATAAATACACAGCAACCCTACCTACACCACATACCCCACCTCAAACAAACCCTCCCAAACCAACGTCCGAAAATGCCACCCACGACATCCACATCAACATCAACCACCAAACCAACCCCCATCCCCAACCCCCGCCGCCTCCTCATCCTCACTCCAACCACGCACTCCCAATCCATCATCCCTCCTCTCCTGCACTCCCTAACAGGCACCCCCGTCACCACTCCTCCAACAGCGCCAGCATCAGCTTCACCAACACCGACCCCGACCCTCTCCTCCGCCTCCACCCTCGCCGCCTCATCCACCACCTCCCTCGCATCCAGCACCACCATCACCACCACATTCGCCGGCTACACCACGCACCCGCCCCTCCACCTCTCAAACAAGTACTACACAGCCGACGTCCCAATCTGGGTAGACGAGATCCCTCTCCAGACCTCCGACCCAACCCCCTCAGCATCCGGAAGCACCATCTCCCCCACGCAATGGAAAGCCGAGTTCTCCAGCCCCGAAGCGCAAGTTGTGCGGGACGCTATCGGCGCCGTGATGATCTGTTTCCGGAACCCCGTGCAGATGGACCCCGTACCCGGCCAGCAGGAATCACAGCAGGAAGATGATGTGGAAGATCGGGCTGATGTGCGCGGGCTGAAGGAGTTCGTGAGGGCTGTGGGGGAAGTGAGGGCGTTGATTGAGGAGGAGAGGGGTGGGGTGGGGGAGGTGCCCGGGTTGGTTGTTTTGGTGGGGGAGAAGACGAAGACAGCGGCTTCTGGGAAGGTAGGTGGTGAGGGTGAGGATGAGGATGGGCTGGTGTTGGAGATTGATGAGGTGTTTTCGGAGGGGTGGTGGGAAGATCAGGTTTGTGAGATGGGGTTGATGGGAATGGAGGTTGTGAGGTGGGGTGGGAAGGAGGGAGAAGAGGAGGAGGTGGGGAGGAATCGGTATGGTGGTATGTTTATCTATTCTCTTTTTGCTTTGCGTCTGGAGGGTATGTGATGGGTGGTGATGGGTGATGCTGACTTATGGGTGTAGAATTACAGGGCATGCGCCGGATTAAAGAGGTTTTGGAGACGCATGATTGGGCTGCGACGGAGGATGCAGAGACAGGGTTACTGAATGATGGGATTGATGATGATCTTGAGAGCGAGCTTCTAGGTTTGGATGATGCAGACAATGGGTTCGATTTGGAGGTGGATGAGCTGCAGCGCGAGATGGTTGGGTTGCGGATGGCGATTGAGCGGGGAGGAGGGGATGGGTTTGATGATGATGACGATGAAGGGGATGAGGAGTTGCGCGTCGATGCGGTCGAGGCGCTGTTGCTTCGCATGAGAGCCATCAAGGGTAGTGATGATTCCGTGTGTCTATAAGTGATGTTGGATGTTTGCTAACATGGTCATTAGATATCAGCGACGAGTTGCCCGAAGCGGAGAGGAAACGGTTTGCAGCAAAGGCCGTGCGTGATATCATGAGAGAGATGTAGTTGCCAAGTATATAGTGTACATTATATTGTGTATTATCATGCCGAGCTTATATCCATCTATACCATAGTACCACTATACCATACACATATACCCACTTGTAACCCTTCACACCTCTTATCTCCACCCCCAATTTATCCAGTCAACACACCTATTTCTTGCTCATCGCCTTGCGTCTCTGCTTAATCATATGCGTATACAAAATATACGACCCTACCCAAATTAGCACATACCCTTATATAAAAGCACCCCCACTCTCCCCAAGAAAGAAGAAAGATAAACTCACCAGGAACATAAATCCCCAACACCGCAATCAAAAACCACCGATACAACGGACTCACCAACTCCCCAGCCGGCCCCAACGCCTTATACACCATAAGACACTCACTGGAGATACCCAGAGGATAAAGCACATAGAAAGTGTTATACCTGTCCCCCCAAACCACAACATTAGCATCAACACCCCCAAACAAATCATTGGAATAGAATCTCACCTCAACCAAGCCCACCACCCCGGCACCCCAACCCCGGACAACTGCAACGCAAAGAACCCATAGCGAATACACTCCGTCACACCCCACGCGCCCAAACACCCCAAGAAGGCATAATCACCCAGCCCAACACCCTCCTGACTTTTCTCCCCCACAATGACACCCTGGAACGGATACATGATTCCCCAAACGAGCAGAATGCGACTAGCGACCTGCATAGCGGTGGTGAGGACCGGTGCGCGCACGAGACGGAGTAGACTGTGGATGATCTCCAGTAGGGCGAGGGATTGGGTTGTTAGGAGGAGGGGGTAGACGTTCGTGAATATTTGGGGGATGGTATTCGGAGAGAAGAAGAGCTGCGAGAGGCCTCGGATTGTGCATGTTGCCCAGAGGGTGAGGGAGAGGGCGTTGTAGAGGAGGAGGTAGGGGCGAGATAGTCCCATCTTTTCTTTGTTGGGTCCCTTGGGGAGTGGTGTTTGTACGTATGTACTGTGGTTGTGGTGGTGGAATGGGTGTGGTGAAGGAAAGAGGGAAATTAAGTAGCGTAGCTAGATAAGTAGAAGGGTAGGTAGGGACTAGTGGATCGTTGGGACGCGTCGATCAGTGGTGAGGATTGGTTATGTAATCTCCCCCGGATTTTGGGCCGAGGATGATTTATGACTGATTTTTGGGCTGTGTGGAATGTGGTGTGGTGGGTTCAATGGTCAATGCTTTTACGATTTTCTAAGGGTCTGCATCTCATACTTTTAATCATGATTCATCCTATAAACACGCTAATCAAGGTCACAAATGCAAACACGCAGCTTCATGAAGCGAGAACTAGCCTCCAGCATGAGTCGGCAACGCAGTTGCCCTCGTCGTCCGCTGCCAATCAGGTCGTGACCGTACAATATCATGACATTCGTGATCCTCATCATCGCTATTGTAAATACTGTGCGAGAAAGGTATACCACTGAGAAGGTAAAAGGGTTGCTAAATCGGACAGATGCTTCAGGCTAGAGCGGCCCTCCGGGTTCCCACGCCCAGAGAGCCTCGTAAAACAAAGGAATGAAAAGCTTCGTGATGACAAGGCGAAAGTACGAAAGCAAGGCGCTCGCTGATGCCGGGCTGGTGTCATAATCATAATGCCGTCATCTCAAAGCTCGTTACACGTCGTTTAGTTTGCGCGAATCACAAGTCGGGAGACAAATTTGTTGGATAAACAGTCGAAGTCATTGCGGTTGAACTTGGAACCATTGCGGCCCCGAAGATAGCTCTCTACAGGAATATTAGCAATGCACAGACGCACCAGAATTCAGTTTCGCGCTTACCAAATTGCGTAACATGTTGGCGGACCTCGGTCATCGTGTTGCAGACATCGGGGTTCGAGTGCAGCAGGTGGTGGTGCTTGGTCGTCTCCCAGTCCGTAAACGCAGGCAGCTTCTGTGAAATCGCCTGGAACAGACCGACGATGACTCCCACCGGTGTGGTCTCCATATCATTGCAGAACTTATCAACAGCGGCAGCATCCTGCGACACGTCAGCATCACGGCTTGCACACACGTTCATTCCACATACCGGAGTACGATAATGGCAGTCAAACTGCATCTCCTCCCACACGGCCAGAAGTATCGAAGCCAGGATGAAAATTGTCGGCCAGTTCTTGAGCTTCTCTCCACTGTAGACACTTGAGTAGAGGCTAGACAGCTCTTCCAGCACGTCCTTCTGCAACTCTCGCCACATGTTCGCCATGGCACACTTGACCTGGAAGTTGACCATCACAGGCGCTATCGTCTTGCCACTGAACTTGGACGACTTGTCGTTGATCTTGCCCTTGAACTGCTCCTCCTCGCCAATACCCTCCACCATGGTAACATGCAGCGTCAGGTTGTAGGCAATGATAAGCTTCAACGCCTTGCGGATCACCGGCAACTTCGTGCGGTAGTAATACCGGAAGGCCGTCTTCAGCATCTGCGTCAGGAAAGGTGTGCCTTCGAAGTAGTCATCCACAAACTTCTCAAACGTTCCGTTGCCGTCAATGTGGCGATCCAGATAATCCGAGAGCATAGCATGCGAGATGCCTTCCATTCCAGCGGAGAGCCTGGCCGTTTCCACCTCGTATGGCGTCGGTTCCCGGTGCATAGACTCCACCCAGTCGACCTTGAAGCACTGATCGTCGTGTACGTAGACCTCGCGGGCGTTGATGGGAAGAACTTGACCGTAGCCATGAGTGATGAAGAGAGTCGTCTCCAATTCCGAGAATCCCTTGATGTTTCCGACCGTGAAATCATAGTTGACGTGACGATCGTAGTCCGCCTTCCAGTCCTTCATGAAATAGCCGATCTCCTTGATGTCAATCCGCGTGCAGGGAACCTGCCACAATCGCGCATGCGAGGGTTGGCAGCCCGCACAGGGCTCTCCTTTGTCGCACTATTTACTCAATCAGCATGTCGCATCGCTAAGGTGGGGTCTATCTTACAGTCTTCTTCAGGAACTTGCAACGCAGACACGCGCGCAGTTTGCGGATCTCGCTGGCTTGTTTCCGTTGGTCCGGCTTGAGCGGGCCCTTACGCTTGCCAACACGCTTCTCGGTCTCTGGCTTTCCATTTTGCGACTGCTTACGAACCTTGGTCTCGGCTGTCTTAGCAGCGATCGGGCTCTTACGAGACGGCTTCCGGCTAGGAGGGGAAGCCGATGAAGTTGATCCTGCGGACCGAGTAGGCGGGGTCGACGCCTTCTTGGAGGGCACCGGAATGGGCCGCACAATGGCCACGGGGCTAACCGCCGTAGGCGATTGCGAACCATGCGAGGTGTGGTCGTAAGAGACCCGACGAGTCATGCTGTGGTTGAAAGCAGTGTCAAAGTTGGTGTCAGAGCTGGGCGAATTGATTGGATTCGTGATTTCCACGAAGCTCCCGTATGACGTGGAATAAGATGACTCGGACAGAGACCGGTCGTGGAGCGTCTGAGTGGGATTGATAAAGATGCCCTGGTCCGGGTAGGAGAATTCATGAGAGCGGCGGGGCTCAATGGTGCTCCAGCCGTTGTCGCTACTGGACAGAGATCGGACCTCCAGGTAAGTGTCGGTGGGAGAGCTGCTCTCCAGGACATTCTGTGGTGCGCTGTAAGCGGACAGATCCGGTAAGCCATCGGCAGGAGGGAACGCCATGAGGTCGGCCTGGAGGTCATGGTAAGGGAATGGAACCATGTCGACCGGCGCGGAGAGGGGCAGATAAGAGCCATCGAGCAGGCTCGTGCTCATGTGGCCGTGGGCTCCAGACATAAGATCCACGGGAGAAGAGTGGATAGACATGCCATAGCTAGCGGCGGTGGTGAACTGCTGGGGAGCGGAGGAGGCCTCCTCATGGGAGTACTGAAGGTGGGGTTGCAAGTGCTGGAAGTGCCAGTCGACCATCAGATTAGGATCCTGAGCTACCGATTGATCGTAAGCGTGACCGCTGGTTTGCAAGGGCGAGATGTCTCGCGCTCCATCCGATCGCTGAGAGGCCTGGTGGTCCACCGCCACGGGCCATGAGTGAGCTTGGAGGTAATTCCTCGAGTCGTAGTCCAGGCCAATGAAGCCGTCGCTTGATAAATCGACATTCGACATGATGCTGACAACAGGAAACTATTTACCAACGGTGAAGAGGGAGAAAAGGAAAGGATTGCATGAACTTTGCTGGACACTTTGAGAGAGGGAAATAAGAGAGGAGAAAAAAAGAAATGAATAAGATGGGAGAGTAGAAAAAAAAAAAAAATAAGAATAAAACTCAAGCGATAGACAGACAGCAAGACAGACAGATAGACAAATAGACAGACGGCAAGACAGACAGATAGACAAATAGACAGACAGACAGACAGACAGATAGATAGACACACGCTGGGTGGTACAAAAAACAAATAAGAGGGTGATGAATATGGGTGGGTGTAGGAGGGGATTGGGGGATGGGGGATGGGGATAGGAGGAAGACGTGGGAATACTGATTGATGGAATGGGTGATTGATGAAGCCTGAGGACCAGAAAAGGGCTTCGGATGAGCAGAAAGCCCAGAATCCGGGGGTGCAAAGCGAGAAGAAGAGGACGAGGACGGGCGATAGGATGAGGCCATGGCGGGCAAAAGCCAGGCTAGCGGTGGGGAGCAAAGCAGCGGTGAGGCGGGAGTTGCGTCGGCCGGAGATACGCTAGGGGATCCTGGGAAGGAGTTATCACCATCCGAAGTGGGGATTCGTGAACGAAGTCAAAAAGACTGACTGACTGACTCTCTTCCCTCTCTGTCCCGGGAAAATTGGAAAAGAGAGGCTGGGTTGCATCCCCTCCGCCCGGGTGGGCTTAATGCCACGACCCTTTCCTACTTGATTGGAGTGGCGTTACTCCATCCACAGCTGATGAACTACTATCAGTACTCACTACTATCTACAATCTACTACTGTGTCCTAGGTTAGCACGTACAGTAGTCTGCTTTTCTTCCCCGGGCGCCAAAATGGAGAACGAGATGATATCCACAAAAGTAAAAAAAAAAAAAAAGTAACTAAAAAAAAAGACATGAAGAAAAAAAAAATTGGAGAAGAAAAAAAAGAAACAACAAAAAAGAAGGCAGACAGAATAGTGCCACTGCAAAGAAACAAAACAGAGAAAAAGAGCCAACATGGTCTTCACACCAGTCCTATCTAAGTTCAATCCGTAGGACCCTACATCTCACAATATGCTAGAGACCGGTTAACCCAAAATGGCCCTAGGATCGAACCACTACGTACTGCTAACTGTTCAATTGACAAGTCTCATGATTATCAGCCCTTTCTCGATCTTGGGCAATTGGAAGCCTACCAACCGAGTAAAAGAGAGCAAAAGGGAAAAAAAAAAAAAAAATAAAAGACTAGACTAGGCCAAGTGGATTAGTTACTGTTAGTAGCTGCTGACCATGGGATGCGCGCGACGGCAGTACTAGCCCCATACGCCCATGCATCGGATTAGCCTACTCTCGTTGGCGTCCCACGTCCGAGCCACGTACCGGCTATGTACCAGTGACTCTCCCAACTGCCTTCCAGCGTAGCACTGCCCTACGTCAGTAGTACCTCTCGCTCAGAATGAATACCTCCCCCCTTCCAAAAAGGAAAAAGTCATCAGGCAGATGATTTGTTGTCAGCCAACTAGTGATATAGTAGCGTAGTAGTAGTAGCAGAGTAGCACCTTGAGCTGTAGTGCTACTTAGGCCCTTGGAATGGAATCATCAACAAAAAGCCTGCTTGCTTTTGGGCTACCGCGGTACCGGACGGAATTTTCCGTTGTCGAGACACGGGATCACATTCGGGAAAGGGAGATCAGTGGAAACCGTCAAAGATCGGTTGAGACTGGATTCGATGGAGCATTATTGACTAAGGCGCCACGATTATTGGCAAATGTCTCCGATCGAAGGTCGGCCGTGGCAATATTTCTTTTTCCTGCTTCGTCGCTTTGCCCCGAGGGCCGTTAGTGTTAAACTAAACCCATCTCTCTTTGAGTTACTATTGAGCGACTGCTCGGAAAAGGACCCTCGCTGACTCAACGCCTCCGTACCACCGAACTCAAGACATAAACTGTATTGTGCGTGAGTCTTCGCCAGTGACAGGCAAACTTCAGGTTCAACGAGGGTGGACAGGAGGTCTATTGTCGATGTACGTCCGGGCTTACCTACATACATCTAGCAGCCTCTGGCCCGGCTGCCATTTGTCCCCTTCCTCCCCCCCGTCCCTCGACCGGGATGGCCTGCGAGTTCACGGTAGGTGATAATCATCTCGGCCCAATAACGCCCATCCTTCCAATCAGTGGGCAATCACTGGCGCACACATGTTGATTTCGTGCCAACAAGGTGGCTGACAGTGCAGTAGCTCCAAGGTTCATGAGCATGCCACAGGCCTTGCCCCTCGAGGCCAACTAGGTACGACTACTGTACGATTCCCCTCCTAGGAATCCCCCAAGAGCACATCATCCCTCCTTATCTGCATCTCTCTCCTGACGATGATGAAATGATGAGATGATGAAGAGAGTCGATAAGGGTCGAGGCAACTTCACGACTCCCCTTCGTCCTACCCTTCTGGGTAAGTCATCATCATGAAGATAGGCATATGCAATCCCGCGGCGCGTTGGCATGTACATGCTGCGGATGTCTCTTCCTCCGTGGTTACAGGGTCCTTTTCCTGCTAACCTCTCTTACTTGGTCTTCCCACTTTTTTCCTTGTGACTTCCGTGACCCCACCCGTTTAGATAATTTTAGCAAGGGTCGACAAAGACATTTCCCATAACCGCCAACTCGGCTCGTAAAATGGGGAGGAGAAACGTGACAGATCCAAAATTGGTTCTCAACAAACATGCAAGCGCAGGGCTATGTCAGCACCATTGGGGTGGTCACCTCTTCCACGGGGCCGTGCAAAGAAAGGTAAAAAAGAAACCAAAACGGTCTTGGCCGCGGAAGCTCCCTCGAAGGGGAAAAAGGAAACAGACACACCTCCCTAAAGCAGGCAACGAGCCAGCCAGGCGTAAGGAAACGTTCTGCATATGAAATCCAAGCCCGTGGACTCCACTCCGATGGGGCTCGACAACTCGATTCGCCGGCTATGAAACATATCAGCACCACGGACTTCTGACTCGCAGCTCGCCACGCCAGCGGCCGCAAGCCATACATACTATGTCCAGCGCGTCGCTTTAATGCCTCCAGAGCCAACAATGTCCAGACGGTTACGCCGGTTGACGACGTTGGCGCTTAAGTCGCAGCAGCCATGAAAATCTTATTATTAGCACGGTCATGATGTTTGTGAGGTCACAGAGGAGACACACACGGGAAGCGGATCTGCAGTAGTGTCGATGGTCAGTGCCCGAAATCTTTAGTCAAAGACAACGTAGTCCAGGTAGTAGACTTTTTGTAGACTACTAAAATCCAGCGTCAATAACTTTAAATCCTGCCTGGTTTGATGCGCGCGCTCAATCCCGTCGCTTGAGTCGGCTAGGACAGGGTTGGAAGGGTCGGGAAACCACTGGAGCTTCTTTCCGAAAGATTCAACGTCTAGACAAAGAGACAGGATAGGGGGAAAGAGGTTGGAGGGAGAGGAGAAGCTCTCCTGAGACCCTTTGACCCCTCATGGTCGAGTCATGGAGACTGAAGGAGCTGCATCTTAGTCTACTAGGATTAAGACTTCCGGCCGCCGACCGGAATGCCCGCTAGCCCGAGTGGGAGAGTGAAGGCGGCGATCCATTCCTCATCGGCGATGGGCTGGCTGCCTGCGAAAAAAGGAACAAAGGGGGTCACGGGATCCATCCGTCACGAAGAAAAAGGAAAAACAGAGAAGCAGATGGTGGTGCCTCGGGAACGTGCTGGTAAATACCAATTACCAACATACCACATAGTATGGGGTTGACACCACCATGTAAGATTCTGACAGATGTTGGGGGGAACTGAGGATAAAGAAACGATGCCCCATCAGCCAACTATACAGTCTTCCCATAGCAGCCTTATCTTTGCGGAACCGAGGTTCTACTATCTATCTTGCGCACTTGGTTTGTTCGCCCAACTCAACTGGGGCCTTCTGGCCTGAGGAGTCGACGAGGGGCCCACCTGACTTGCAACTGCGGCGGGGAGAAAGAACAATGGATTCTGCGGGCGGCCATGGCAGCTGTCATCTCCATTCATGAAGAGGAGAACAATCGGACCCAGGCTCATCTCGATCATTCTCGATCGCGCCAATAAACAGTAGTCCCGAATCCATATATTCGAACTCCAGGAAATTCCATGCCGATCGTTATCGCTGCCGCAGGGAAGCCGCGTCGCAAAGTTCGTTTCTCATCCAACCAAACATCCAGACCAACAGACGCTCAGGGTAGAGACACCAAATCTGCTAGTTCGTCAATAGGTCGCCGTCAGCCCTCGGCGCCTACATCCAAAAAGCACACCTCGCTAGATCAGCGCAGCAACAGCAGCGGCGGCGGCATGTATGAACCCCAAGCACATCCCGGAGTTCCGGCTTTGTTTCAAGAGCTGCCTTCGCTCCTAGATGCCCTGTGCACCGAGTCCTCTGAGGTCCAAAGTGAGACCGTCAACAAATGTTTGCCCTTCTTGAAAGGCATTCACAACAGCCAGGCAGGCCCTTTCAACCGATTTGGAGTGCCAGCTCTGAATCAGAATGACCACCTTATCTACTTATACGATTCTTTGGAGGACTATCCAGAGGGCTTCGCTGGCATGGATGCAAGCCGGCCTTGGATGGTCTACTGGGTGCTGGCTGGATTAAGCCTCCTGGGGGAAGATGTCACCAAATACCGTGAACGGTAAGCAATTACTGAGCTGTGCGCTTGGCAACTGCAGATTGATCATGGCTGCTGTGATTCTGGCTCTCAATTGCTGTCTTTCTGTCTACGACCATTGTCTAAGTCCTTTCTTTAGTGTCGTTTCCACGTTTACGCCAATGCAAAATCCTACAGGGGGCATGGGCGGCGGCCACGGGCAACTGTCCCACTGCGCCTCTAGCTATGCCACAGTGCTCGCTTTAGCCATGGTCGGAGGCGAAGAGGCATTCAACCTGATCGATCGGGAGGCGATGTGAGTAGTTGCGGTACCTGACTTGAGCATCAATGCATGCTGACCTAGACCAGGTGGAGATGGCTAGGAAGTTTGAAGCAGCCTGACGGCGGCTTTAGGGTCTGCGCGGGCGGGGAAGAAGACGTGCGGTATTTTCTCCCGTTGCTTGCTTCGCATACCCCTTTTGCTTTTTGCTAAATTTTGGTCAGAGGCGCCTATTGCGCCATGGTGGTCCATTCGCTACTGAATTTGCCACTGGAACTACCCCCTGATGCCGAAGCTCGGCAGCACGGTCTTGAGACGTTTACCAGTGGCCTCTCGGAGTATCTGTCGAGGTGTAAGAGCTTCCACATCCCTAAGCTTCCGGGCTAGACTGATCTGGCTGCAGGCCAAACATACGAAGGCGGCATTTCCGGAAGCCCCGGTTCTGAAGCACATGGCGCCTATACTTTCTGTGCTTTGGCATGTCTGTGCCTCATGGGCCCACCAGAAGTGGTGGTGTCGAGGTAAGAGGCTGCATTTTCATATTCTCCCCGCTTCCGCTGATAACGTCAGGTGCATGGATGTTCCTTTACTCCTGAGCTGGCTTTCTGCTCGACAGTACGCCCCCGAAGGGGGGTTTTCGGGGAGAACCAATAAACTGGTGGATGGCTGCTACAGCCATTGGGTCGGCACCTGCTGGCCATTAGTTCAGTCTGCCCTCAATGGGGTCCAGTCAGCTACAGGTCCGGAGCGGGTCCCTGCCAATCTCTACAGCCGTGAAGGGTTAACCAGATATATCCTTGGTTGTTGCCAGTCCAAGTACGGGGGGCTCCGTGATAAGCCTGGAAAGTACGCAACTCCCTTCCTCTTCCGATCCCTTCCACAGTGTGGCCAGGCTAACGATAACTACTAGGCATCCGGATTCGTACCACACCTGCTACGCGCTGACGGGCTTGAGCTCGGCCCAGTATCATCATTACCATACCACTTCCAGCATCAGCTCTGATGAAGGCTTTGGTTCGGCGTATTCCTGGAAATGCACTCCCATCCCTGCTTCGGATGACACATCCTCCGACCAGAATGTATTCGATGAGAAGGACCGGTTGAAGGCCTTCCACCCGATCTTCGTGGTACCCCATGCGGCCGCAGAGAACCTGCGGGTATGGTGCGAGCAACGTCCAATCAAGCCCGAGTGGTGATGGGACGGGTGCCGATATCGAGCAGGGGAACTATATCAATGAAAAGTATATTTTGTACAGTACGACACATGTAAGAATCAATTGTCCATAAGCTTGTGACACGCATGTAAGATAGTTTGGCTGGCCTCCGCACTGAGGGGAAGTAGGTTCCAGTCAGGAATCAAAGCATCCAGGAAATGGTAGTCATACAGATGAGATAGCCAGAAGCAGCTACCATGGATGATCAATCTACTGATTCCGTCTGCCTTGCGACGAGATCCGGGGTCAAACTGTTTGGTGCGACATCAGCTGCTCAGAGTTCGGCCACTTGGTGTCTTCTCCAGTAGACTTTCTGAAACTAGAAACGCCCGCTGAAACGGTCCTGGCAATGCTCAGACTAGGAACAGTTTTGACTGAACGTTCTCCCACAATTGACCCCATCCCTGGCGCCTCCAAGAATGAACACCACGATAAGTAAGAAAAGAACAAGGCGGCTAAGAAATAGAGGGGAAAGAAACCATGACCCGCCCTCGCTTCCACAAACATCCAAGCGATACATGTCACCATCGCGACGCGAGGGCCACCAGGAAAAAGGACGGACTTACACACCATGCACAGACACACTGAGCAAATATGCTGCAACCCGTCAATCAGCCAAATGAGGGAAGAAAAGGCAGTGGCCCAACGGGTGTCAAATTGGAGCCAAAGGCCAAATTCCCCGGGGTGGTGCTGAATAAGAGGGAGGAAAAGCCTCTCAGGTTACTCTGCAAGGTTAACTAACCCTCCTCCATTCTCCTCATCCTTTGCTCACTTCGTGTCGAAGTGGCATGGATTCCCCGCCGCACGAAGCGAAATTGCCAACTCATCATTGCATCCGCGATGCCTGCTTGTCAACAACATCCGAACGCCTCGACCAATCTGAGCTTGATCCACTCCAGCCAGTCTAGAGCCTATCCGGATTTTTCACGCGGCAGCCGATACATTCCAGGATGATTTGTGAATTGAGGTCTGATAGCAAGAGGCCGGCCTCTAGGAACCTTTGTTTTTTTGGGGGGGGTATTTTCTACATTTGGGTCTTTGGCCCTCTGGAAGGATTCAAGTTCATTTAACATGAGGATTACTCAGGAGGCACCCGAGGAAGCGGTCTGCTAAAACTAAGGGAAGCGGATTCGGATGGCTTACCGAGTCGTCGAGGGTCATGATCGTCTCAGCATTGACCCGACCAGAGGGGAGAAAAAGTAAGTTACGGTCGAGTCCAACGGGGATTTCTTCCATCATTGGTGGTATTCTGCTTCCCCTCCAGTAGGGACGATCGGCCCATGGTACAAAGAAGTCCGCCAGCAACCAATTCTCTCTGGTGGTTCCATGCCAGGATTCATCTGCGCGACATCAACCCCTTGTTATGTATCATCAATGTGCATTAGCGGGATTCCACGACGCCTCCTTCCTTGAGTCTTTCTCCCGTGCTTCCATTACGTTCGTTGCGACTTGCTTGACAGGGCGACAGTCGTTGTTCTCTCTACACACTGCGGGGTTTATGGATCCATCTCAGACCGAAGGATCGGGAGGGGAGGGGGACGCGCAAGGAAAATGAAGGAAAATAAAATTCACAAAAAGACCGCGCTGACTACGGACTGGCGCCTTCTAAGCATGCCCAGAACAACCGGCCCACGTTCTGCAGCAAGAATGGTAGACCGAATCGACCGATTTGCCCGGAAAGCTCTTATCCTGAACAACATGTCAATATGTTAGCCGCCTGGATCGGCGGCGAATTACACGGTGGCCGATGGGCCAGGACGTCCTGGATCTTTTTTGCGCGGGACCACTGGTGAAAAGCCATGCCAGCGCATCAGGGTTTGGACCGCGCTTGCCATGTTCCTTTCTCCAAGCAGAAAGGCGACAAGACGGACAAAGCTAGTGAGGTTTAGAACCGTTTTTGGGAGGAGGGTATTCGTCTATTGCCTTTCTCCTCGGCCAATCTGTGGAGAAGGTTGAATGAGCCGGTGGAGAGCCGTTCTTTTGATTGAAATGATGATTTTATTTTTAATTTTTCTTTTTTTGCTTTTTGGTAATTATTTTCTTCCTCCCCTACGGTGTCTCTTTTGTCGCTGTCTCTCTCTACCCTTTTCCTCCCCTTTGACTGGAATAATTATCAACGACCAGCCCCACCCTGTTTATTTGAGCGGACTATACCTGAGCCAGCATGATATTCTTCGCCTCTCTTTTCTTTTTTTTTTCTCCTGCCCTCCGCCAGTGTAAGGCATGCTGCTTGACTCTCCTCGGCCGCTAGTTCCTTCCCTCACGGTCCTTCGTACCCTTTGTTTGCATTGATCTATACTAGGCGTTGTCAACCGTCTCGGCCCGCTTGTGGTGAACAGGGCTCTTTGGCTATTGTAAAAAAAGGAACCACACAAAAATAGCAGCAACCATTGCCCGTCATATGAGAGGCAGTGAGTGAGTGAGTGACTGAGTGATCATTGGGCACCAACCATCGCTGTCAACATAGACTCGTGCCGGTACCTTTTTGGTGTGACTGCCCAGGATCTGGTGCAGTCTCGATCTGAGCTGGGGCAACGAATACTGGGCCGATACCGTCCAGGGCTATACCTTCCATTGGCCGTTTACTGGTCTTCGCGATGTACTATATTCTCTACCTCGCAAGTATGTAGATGATTTCGTTTGCCATTCGTCCGACCTCCCTCTTCCCCCTTCCTCTCCATTATGCCATTGGGTCAGACCAACGCCTCCAAGTGGCCATGCTCGCTGTTTTTCCCACAATTGATGTCAGACACCATGCATGCATGCATGGTGTAGAAAAGCAACAATGGCCGGGATCGAGCCGACGACGGTGGTGGTGGTTGTTCCTGACTCAAGGCGATGCGATTTCTTATCTACACCTTCTGTGATTTGTCGATCGCTCGGGGAATTTGCGTCCTTCGGAGCGACCGAGCGTTAACACACGATCCGATCGTCATCTTTCCTTCAACAGCAGGTTACTAACACATAATGTACAGGCCTCTGCCGACGCCGGCACTGGGCAGATCCCGCCTACGAATCCTATGCTGTTGGGGGCGGCTACACCTGCATCGTCCGAGTCAACAACCGGGAATACCAGACGGAGGACGTTTGCGAATCGAAGACTCTGGCTGAGGAGAATGCAGCGATGCGCGCGTACCTGATTTGTCGCAACTTCTCTGTCAACGACGGCATGTATCCTGCTGGGCATGAACACAGGGGAGGGCCTATTCAGGGAATTCCGGTCGCCATTGGCACGGGAAGAAAGGGACGCTATGGAGATGAGACGGATATGTCGACTAGTGGCGAGAGCAGAAGTGGTGGGAGCAGTCCGGAGAGTTGTGAAGGAAGATTGGATCGAAGGGGTGTTGGACCGACGAGGGCGCTTGCCTTTGGACAGTAGCAGGAGCTGGAGCAGATGATTTCCTTCGGGGATGAGGGGATGGAAGCAGAGGGATACTGGGATACATGATGATGCTACGATTTACGACATGACTTGAATACCAGATAGATCGAAATGCTTTTCTTTGTTCATGGAAATTGTTGGATGTCGCTTTTAGCGGTGATGGTATGGATATGGATGATGAAGATGGAATTGGTCTTATGGGAACACAGAGATTGATTCCAGATAGTTTAGTTTGTTGTATTTGTTGATTGCATGGGTGGCCAGCGATCACTATCTTGGGTGGTGATTAGATATATGAGCGCTCAATTGATAAATTGTATACTTTATGCAGGCGAAATCACTCCTTACTACTGCTGCTGCTGCTAAGAGACATAGTAGCGGTCTAGATCACCCACCACCTCAACATGAATCAAACACCACCACCAACCCTCCTGACCCTGACCTCAGGAACAACAACTCAACCCCAATGACGCCAAACACCATCATCAACAACATCATAACCTTCTTAACATCCTAAATTAATCTCTGCTCCGCCTCCCTCAACCGAACAATAGACATGACACGCGTCTCCACAACAGCAACCCATCACAGCTGACTCATCATGACGTACATCACCCATTAACTAACTACGTTATGAAGTCTATCTTCCAAGGCACTTCTTCACCTTTGACTCCTATTATACCCCTTTGACAATTACATTCTAGATTAATCTTAATTCAAAGCTATTAGCTTCTACCGGTATCTTCTACCCCTGATCCCAGTTTAGTCCTCGGCATCTCCTCATCTGGTGAATATATATACATCGTCTACTACAGGATAAAGAGCATATATGACCTTCCACTCCCAATAGCCGATGACGTGACCGCAATGCGGTCAATTCTGGGTCGAGTTCATCGAGTCGGGCTTGCGCTTCCACTTGCGCCTAGTACACAATGGCACGCCTGCAGTGCTTCCCCTGCTATACTAGGCGCTGCGACAACAAGAGGGGGGCATAATGGTACTAGCACGTATATGCTCCGTGCTGGCTGCGGTGCAGTCTACACGCCACTGGACCGGAGGTGGTTCCGCGCGGGAATCCCTGGTGGCAGTGGGATGAGAAACACCCGGACGAAAGAGCAACTGGAGAGATTGAGACTACGGGATCGCACGGGGGGTGTGCAGGAGGAGCAGAGGGAAGGAGGGGGGAAGTTGGAGGAGGCGATGACGAAGGGTATATCTCTATCTCTATTTTGAGATTAAATAATAGGGATGTTAATGCGGTTGCTTATAGGAAAGCTATTAACCACGCCATCGAGGTTATTCAAGCTACTTATTCCGCTGTCAACTGGGATTCAGGGAGAACATAAAGGTGTGTGATCTTATAACATGACCAGTCAGTGGTGATGGTGAATGGGATACTGACAACCCAGATATCGAACCAATCGCCATTCTCGTCCACCCCCAACAACCACTCTCCCACCTAGAACGTCTAATCCAATCCGAAGTCCCAGCCATAACAACTGAAGACGGCCAGACTCGCCCCCCAACCGTCTCCTTCATCGCCCTCCAAATCGAAGACCACCCCATCCGGCCCCGAAAAGCCGTCTACGAAGGCACCGGTGCAGAAGTCCACCAGCTCGACGAGAAGGGCCGCATCGACGACGGCGAAGGCAAGCGAGCCCCCACCGAAGACGACACGTACACGTATCTACGCCGAACGGAGCCCAGCAAGAAGGGAGAGGGATCAGAGGGTGGAGGTGGCAAGAGGGAGCAGCGCTTCGTACGCTGGTCCCAATCCACCGAGATCGGCGATTTCATCCGGGACGCAGCACGGGCGCGGGAATTCATCGTCTCCGTGGAAGGCGCGCCAGCCGGGGTACATCAGATCCATGTGGCGGTGCCATCGTTCGACGAGCGGACGTATTTCCTGCGGATGCGACTGCGGAAGATCTCCGGACGGATCCAGGGCATCGCGGAGATCAAGCACGAGTGTGATGCGCTGGCGCACCGGGGCGCGCAGCGGGTCGCGATGGGAGGGCTGGGGATCCTGGCGATGTGGTGGTACTTGGTGTACAGGTTGACGTTTGAGACGGATCTGGGGTGGGATACGATGGAGCCGGTGACGTATCTGGTGAGTTTGTCGACGCTGATGGGGGGATATCTCTGGTTCTTGTACCATAATCGGGAGATATCGTACCGGTCGGCGTTGGATTTTACGATCAATGCGCGGCAAAAGAAGCTGTATCAGGAGAAGGGGATTGATTTGCAGTTGTGGGAGTCATTGATTGATGAGGGGAATACGTTGCGCAAGGAGATTAAGAATATTGCGGCGGAGTATGATGTGGAGTGGGATGAGATGAAGGATGAGAGGGATGAGAGGGTGACGGAGGCGTTGAAGCAGGAGAGGACGCAGAAGAATGGGAAGAGAGGAAAAGGAGGTGATGATGAAGAGGATGGAGATTGATCTATACACTGCCCGCATTCATGCCCGTTGCATTTGCACTCAACCATTTCGAACAGGATCATAATACTCCTTCTTTCCACTGCTGGCAGCACCACCAGCACTACCACCAGCAGACACAGAAACAGAAGCAGAAGCACCACCATCATGTCTCACTCCCATCTGAGGAGAACTCGCCCGACCTATACATACATACAGCATAGTTAGCCAGTGTACATATAACTCACATACACCCCTCACCCCAAATTCCCAAACCCCCAAACCAAAGTAAAAAGAATATTAATAAGTATACATACCATCCTCCCCCCCCTGAACACCAATAACTCCCCTCCTCCTATTCCGATTATTCCTCACATCCCTACTCCTAAAAACACTATACAGCAACCAACCCGCCACCCAGTTCGGCCCATACTCGCCGGTAGTCATCCCACGGGCAAACAACGGTCTGGTGAGGGGGCTCGCGTTCCTCGCTATCTCATTTATGCCCCATCGCTGGCGCTCGGGTCGGATGTGGTGCCAGAAGTATGGCGGTTTGAGGGCTTTGTAGTTCTCTAGGAGGTTGCTGGGGGATTCGTTCAGGTGGTTGTAGGTGGAGATTGCTTCGTCCTATACCTTTATTTAGTTGGGGGTGAGGAGAGGAGAGGAGGGATTGGGGATAGGGAGGGAGGTATACTCTCATAGCGCGGTAGTATTGCTCGTGTTGGGGGTCGTGTGTGGAGAGGCCTAATGCAGCCATGAATTCTTCTTTGCTGGCGCGGGGGGAGACGGACATTATCCCTTTCTTTCTGTTTCTTTCTTTTTATTGGGTGGTGAGGGTGGAGGTATATGGTGGTAGGATTGAAAGGGTATAAGTGATGGTTGGTGTAGGTGATGTGATATATGTAGTGATATCTCACGCCACTAGGTACTATGTCCCCTCAGATCTAAGGAAGGGATAGACTGTAAGGATATATGTATCAACAGGGATAGGATTCCTGTTTCGTCTGCAGTCACACGGATTCCCGAGGGGACAGTGCTTGCTTGCTTGCTGCTTGCTTAGGTGATTGTTGATTGTACTCAGGAGGAAATGTTTCTGTCCCGTCGGATCAGCACATGTATGATCAATCAATAGACAATATGAAATAAAGGAATTAAATGATATGCTCTACAAGAAAACGGCAAGTCCAGGTATTATTGTCTTGTATACTACAATAGCCTAGCCATCTGCAGCACAGCCGTTGTCTGCTAGTCACGGAATCAATTTGTGAGACTAAGAATCACCCCCATATGACCCACTTATCGCACTGCTATAATCATCAGATACCACCGCTGCACTGCCAGGGGCAAGAAAGATACCCGTCGTCCTACTCAGCTAGTGAATAGGTAGCATGTAGCTATCCGTTTGTTGGGACGGTAATCTATATGTCATGCTCTCTCGGATCATCCCACGACTGACCGACTGATGGGAACAAGACGTAGTTTGTCTGACCGTGGTCTCGTGAGTACTCGGTAAGTGTATGCTCTGAGTCATGATATTTGATACAAATCGAACAGACACACGCACAGAATGCAGGTAGGCAGACAGGACAGGCTGTCAATGTAACCTGCACTTTTCTCGTCCAGCTTTGGAAATTGGTATGGATGGATGGTAGCACACCGGCACCCACCGTACGGGTGTCGAGGGAAAGAAACTGGATGGAACAGTCCCTCTGTATGCTCCGATTCCTTTTCCTTCTCATGATGGCATACAGTAGGGGCTATCAACACAACCCCATGATCACCACCATCACTCCCAACCATCTGTCGTGCCACGGACCCTGTCCCATCCCGCCAGAATCCAAGTCGTGTCTGTGTTGGCTTTTCCGAGCCATGAACTAGGCAGCTAGCTAGTAGCTACAGTAGCTTCTGGAGGTGGCGGTGGTGGCTAACCCTACCAACCCTGGCAGACGCCCCCGCTAACGGACGGACAAACGCCCCGGTCTGGTTTAAAAGGGTCCTGTCTTCGACCGAAATGACAACCCGTCACTTCGTCTCTCGCCCCCAGAGGAAGAGAAATATAAAAACGATCCCGTTGATCGTTTGTCAACTCCATCGAGTCCTTCCTCAAAGGAAGAAGATTCGTTGTTTGCAGACATCCGGGTGCCGCCGTGATCCGGAGCGGAGGTCGACGCTGGGACAATCCCAAGGATACAACAGGCACCTCCAGCTCATCTCCCGAACGTTGCTCAGCCTGGTCCTTGTGTAAAGGTGCATGTGAGGCAACGGTTGTACATACTCAAGTATGTCCGACATCCACGGCAGAACTCCCGTCTGGTAGCCCACGAACTTGCTACCGGACCCGATAAAGTCGACTCAACTACCACCTACTGATATCTATGTTCTAGGGAGGTCGGATGAGGTGATCGATGCCACCGCCTACTCCCTTTCATCTGTTGTTCCTGAGCTGAAGCTACCTGGGGTACTTGCTCAAGTTCGATGGTCGTCCAAGCACTCCCAGCCCCCTGGCTAGCAATGACTACCCGATCATGCCACAAGGCAATGTGCATGCGACATCCGCCCTCCAAGGGTCGTCTTGCACCTAGGCTAACCAAGGCAGAACGACCAGTATCATATCTTCTACCTTTTTTTTTTTTTTTTTTTTTTTTTTTTTTTTTTTTTTTTTTTTTGTTTTTCTTCTTTGTTCTGGTTCTTCATATTCCCTTTAGTTTCATGGTTCATACATTTCTAGGATAAAACAGCCCGGGCCAAGACAAGGGGCAAATATAGAAATAAGTCATGTTTTTCCGCGGCAAGATCGACGCTGTCTTCCTGCATGTTTCCGCAGTCTTAGGAATAGCTGTGTGGTGATGCTGTCACTTGGTGATCT